TCTTTTCTGCAGAGTTAAGACACGTAATCCTCTGACTTGGGGGAGGAGAATCACAGAGTTCTATAATTTTGTTCTCCTTAACTAGGATTTACTCAGTCCTTACTATGTGTGGGGCCCTGTGCTTCCTACGTCAGGGTTAGGGTCAGCTTTAGAGCTGGAGGGCACTGTAGGAGTCATCTGGTCCAAATCCCTCATTTTAGAGCTGAAGAAACTGAGGGCCAAACAAGCTCAGTGACTTGCTCCAGGGATGGCTAGGTGGCTCAGTGGATAGAGTGGATTGGGCCTGGAATCAGGAAGACCTGAGTTTAAATCTGGCCTCAAACTAGCTGTGTCACCCTGGGCAAGTCACTTAACCTCTTTTTGCCTTAATCCACTGGATTTGCAAATGGATTGCACTGGAAATGCAAACCACTCCAGTATCTTTGCCAAGAAAACTCTATGGACAGATGGCCCATGAGGTCATGAAGAGTTGGACACAACTGAACAACAATGACTTGCCCCAGGTCACCCAGGTAGCAAATAATTCCAACCATGGGTAGGATTCATTGGAGAAATGACTTCAAAGCTATTCTGTTCTCAAAGACACCCCTGTCAAAGAGGGCAGAAAGGAAAGATGAGGGAGACAAATTGTGAATGTCAGTTCTTTGTTCCTTAGGCCAGGAGCCCTAGAAAGGGCTATGCTTGGGATCAGTGTTGTGTTGGAATGGGAAGACCTAGGGGCGGAGCTTTAAAATTGCTCACAGGTCTGGTTTAAACCTTTGCACAGTTGGAAGTGTTCTAAACTTGGTGCTGGGAGTAAATAGGCAGTTAAGTGATGCAGTGGATGGAGGGCTGTACCTGGAATCAGGAAACCCTGAGTTCAAATCTAGCCTCAGATACTTACTAGCTGTGTGAAACTGGGCAAGTCACTTAACCTCTGTTTGCTGCAGGTTCCTCAACTGTAACATAAAATGAATATAACAGCATCTACTTGGCAGGCTCAAATGAGATAATGTTTGTAAAGTGGCTAGTACAGTGCCTGGCACATAGTAGGTGCTTATTGATTGGGATGGGCTGCTGAGGTCTGGGACAGGTAGAGAGATCTAGCTATGGAACCAAAGTGCCAACTCCTCTTTTTGCCAACAGATGTATGTGCCTAGGGTCCTGAGCAGCTTGGCCTCGGAGAGGACTTCCCTGTCCCCACATGATCAGCAGACATATGGCGCCGTCCAGAACATCAGCGGGACCCTCCCTGGACAGCACTCTCCAAAGCCTTCAGACTTTGCTCCTTCCTTGGATGACTGAGATAAATCTAACCCGGGATGAGCATGAATGGGGTGGAGCCCTCCATCTGGCTCTGGGGAGAAGGAGAAGCTGGATAGACACAGCTTGGTTTCCAAGCACTTCAGCTTTCTCCTTTTCTTTTGACTCATTTTAAGCTCCATTTTCCTAGTACAGGACAAGCCAAATGGCTCACAAAGTCAGAGGTCTGCCTGAGAGGGTGGTTAAGGCTCCTGGCCCAAATCGCTCGGTGGACATCCACTAGATGGCCAGTAGGAGGGGCAACCCCAGCTTTTTGGATTCCCATAGCCGCTTTTGAGAGGTTTTCCCTTCCAGTTCTGTCCCCTGGCAATGCAGCCCCTAAGGTGCCAGCATATATAGCTCACTGTCTGCAACGAAGTACTTTAATTGAGGGTTCATGTTAGCATTGTGGCCCTGGATAAACAATCCAAGGGACTGGGAATAAGAGACTGGGGCCAGGGCAGCCTGGAGCAGGAGGTTTTCTTTCTTCTGAGCCCTTGCACTAACATGTATATCCAAGCACACACATGTACACCAAATACACATAATCCAATTGTATGCAAAGAGCCTTCAGGGGCAAAGGTTGCTGGGTAAGTTTCCAGGTCAGAGGAAGGAGACTGCTCTTGGTCCAGTCTTCCCTCTGCACCATTGAATTCCCACCTGTCAGGGAGTCCCAGTTTATTTGGTGCTGGGCCCAGTCTGCTCAAGACCTTCCCGGTAGCTGCCCCAGCACCAGTGGTGATGAAGGGGAAGGTGGTTTTAAGCCCATCTCTTCTTGGGCTGAATGCCAACTCCATCCACAGCACCATCGCTCCCTGCCTACGCCTGCCTTATTGCTTGTGTTGGTTCTTGTGCTTTCCTGTTGCCTCATGATGTCAGTGACACTGACAGCCAGGTCAGCCAGGGCTGGTGTCATGTGGCGCAAAGATGAAGATGATGGTCCCTTAATAAAGCATGGAACAGAGAGTGCACAGGTGGCCAGGCCAGGTGAGGTTCTCTTTCTGACTTGACTCTCTCCCTGCCCTATGACTATTTGGGGTGTAAGACCTGCTCCCCCACAACATACACCCCCCTACCTTTGGTAACTAGCTATCCTGGTCCCTTTCATCCTTCTGCCTCTCCATCCCACCTCCCCAGCCAGGCAGCTGGTTGACTCAATGTTACTGGAATGAGCGCCTACTCTGGAATGAGATGACCTCAGCTTGAACCCAGCCATTAATTCATTAATTCAGCCATGTCATTAATTACCTGTGTGACCTTGAGCAAATCACTCTCTGGCCCACATTTTCCATAGCTGTAAAAAGGAATTTTGAGACAAGATGACCTCTAGGCCCCTTCCAATTCTAAATCTCTAAATTACACCACTGCTTAGGTGAATAAAGGGCATCTTGCATCTTTTCCCACCCCTGGTCTCCCTGACAGCTTGCATCAGGGGCCTTCTCTGATCTCCAAATGAATCCTGACCCTTGCCACTATACAAGTCCATCCAGTGTTGTGTTAGGCCTTGGTTCCAGGCTTACCTTTGGCCTTTGTCATCTGACCTTGCTCCAAGGACTGTTAAGCCCTGGGCTTGTCTCTGCTACCTGGCCAGACCTGTGCTAAGATCTTCCTGGGCTTTTATGGCTGTGTGGCTAATTAAGGGAGGAATCCATCAATCAAGCTACATTTGTTAAGAGCCTGTTGTATGCTAGGTGCTGGGGATGCAAAATCCAAAATGAAACAATTGTTTTTAATATTCTGCTCCTAGTGGAGGTCTCATGGTACAAGAGCCCTCCTTTGAGTATTCCAGCCATGACTTGGGGCTGCTTTCCCCCACTTTTGAGCAAAAGCATTAAAGACAGGCAGTCAGCTGCTTTTCCACTTTCTGAAGTATGGCCCTGGCCTCACATTGGGAAACCAGGTGGACAGTGTTACTGTCTTGGAAGACTCAGGGAGAAGAGATAGTCACTGGTTTTCCAGCCCTGGGCCTCTCCCACTCTAGGAGCACTGGTCAGGCAAGGGCTACTACCACCACTATCCTGTGGTGGTCTCCTCCCTTGTGCCTCAGGTTGGCCAAAGAAGGGAAAGAAGATGGTATTGAGCTGTCACACCAGGAGCAGGCAAGGTGGCATGGTGATATACAAAGAGCATGGGAGTAGACAGGAGACCTGGTTTTGAATTCTGGCTCTGACTTTGGCTAGGTGCGTGACTTTAAGCAAGTCACTTAGCTTAGTTCTGGGCTGCTTTCCCCTCACCTATGAAAGGAAAGGTTAGACTCAATGGCCTTCAACATCTCTTATAGCTCTAAATCTATGAATTATGATCCTGTCGGGGCTGAACTTGCTCTAACAGGTTCCTCCAGGAGAAGGGAGTTGGCACTCGGGCAAGGAGGCATTCTTCCCACTGCCCTGCAGGTGGTGCCAGTGGAATATGTAGAGTTGGAAGGGACGTGGAACATTTAGCCCTATGGTCTCCAAAATTGACTGGGATCATGAACCCCTATTAGTAAAAGATTTTTGAGCATATGCCCACATTATGTCTATATAGTTATTTATCCATTACAAACAAGCACTAATAATTATGTATATTGTGAAATTTACACAAAAACAGAAATTAAAAAGAGGAGACAAAGATGGAAATAATATTTGGTCCAAGAGCCAATGGCGAATCACTGCAGCGAGTGCCACGGTCAAAACTGTGATTTAGGGAAGTCGTATCGGCAGGTGCGTGGGGATGGATTTGAAAGTGGCGAGACTCTTGCAAAAGTCCAGGCAAGAGGTGAAAAAGGCCAGCACTGTAGTGGTAGCAGTATCAGGGGGAAAAGGGGATAGAAGTGAGAGATTTGGTGGAGGCAGGAATGACTCGATTTAGCAATGGACTAGATAGGAGAGGTGAGGGAGAATGAGTACCTACCGAGACTTGCGGGGCTAGAAGGATAATAGTGCCCTCAACAGTGATAGCGAGGTTTGGAAGATGGTGGGTTTGGGAAGAAAAATCATGTAATGGGCTTTATGATATGGATCATAACCGAAGCTCCTCTGTTTTCCCTAAAAGCAAAAAGTAAGGTGGTCTTTATATAGTTTCCTGCCCTAGAGGGGAGAGCCTGGCCTTCAAGGGGGTTCCTGCCACAAGCACTACCTGACCTGGGAGGGCCAGGGATGGGCCTACTGTGAATTTTTCCAGTGGCATCTATGTAGCTACTGCTGGGGTTACCTGGATACCTGCCCTGAGGGACTGATATCCAGCTCAGAAGGGGTGAGGTTGGGCATTTGCACAGAGAAAGAGGCAGCCCTGGAAGAGAAAGAACTATGGTTGTTCATTCTGGAGACAAATCCCATGAATGGTTATCTTGAGGATGGTGGGATATGGCATCTCCCTACTCTCCTCTAAGTTGGTCAATCACAGGGATCTCACTGTGACCCCCTACTTTGAAGGCCAATGATTTAGCCCAGCCCCATTTTACAGATGAGAGAATGGAAGCTAGATGAGTTGTGTTTTTGCCATGGTCACATAGCTTCTAAGTAATAGAGCTGGTATTCAAACTCGCGGCTTTCCCTATTATACACATATGCACATAGCCAGCCAAGTCGGCATCCCAGCAGGCCTGCCTCCCTGCGTTAGAGGAGAAGGAGCTGACTCTTGGTGGCCAGGGTCCAGAGCCTCTGCTAGCCTGGCAGCAGAAAGGCTGAAGAATGTCTCTGCAGGTTTCTTTTCACTCTTGTCGCTGTTTGGCTTCCAGAGGTCAAAATCATCTTTGAACTATGTACCTTTCTTTTTTGCTAGGCATTGGGGTTAAGTGACTTGCCCAGGGTCACACTACCTTTCTTTTTCTTGCCTCAGCCAGGGTGAGCACTGATCTGTGGGGGATAAGCAGAAGGAAGACCCACAAGACTGTTGGACAGAAAATTTGGTCGGTCCTCACACCTTATTCACACCGTTTTCCTTTGTCCCTCTCCCCTTCTCTTTTCTTCCCTCTTGGCAGCCCAGAGGCTGTGGCAGATGGCAGTCTATGGCCAAAGGCCTTCTCCCCCGCCACCCCTTGGCTCCCCTTCCTTTGCTTCCTGATGAGGGAGAATGGGGTGAACCTGAGGACAGTAACTTGGCCCCACCCTTCAGCAGCAGGCCTGACAGCTGCTATCAACAGCTCTGTAAATCAAGCCCTCCTGTGGGGCCAAGATTAGCCCCTAGGGGTTGGGTACATCCACTCAAGTTGCTGGCCTCTAGTATGTTGGAGGCAGGCCAAGAACTGAATCTAGCTGGATTTGAGAATCCCCAAGATCCCTCCCACTTTTATGATCCTAGTGAGAAACCAGAGGCCCAGGTTAAATGACTGGGGGGGGGGGAGGGGTCACACAGGTAATAACAGAACGTGCCCTCCTCTCAGCTGCCCCCACCAGTTGGGGACTGTGGGGTTCAGACCAATGGTTTTGGGGAATGAGCCAACCAACTGGGTGACTGGGGAAGGTGGGAATGGGGTAACATTTTATGGGACCGTTGAGGGCGAGAGGTTGGGATTTGGCTTATTCATCTGAAATGAGGGCAAGCAAGAAGGGACCCAGACCAGAGCGCTGCAGCCCTGTCTTTCTTGGCCGTGTCTCCTATGGAAATGAGGTGACTGGATGAGATCTAAAAACAGATCCTGTGAATCAGACTGTTTGGTGGGGTCCTAGGTGATGAAAGGAGTGCAGGAAGCAGTATCCTGCTTCAGGATTGGAATGAGCTCTCCAGGATGGTCAGCCCCTGTCATACACACCCCATCCTCCTCTCCCACCCCCAATTTTCCCTATGTGCAAGATTCAACAGCTCTTATGAAGCAAAAAAAAATTTATTATGAAAATTCATTTTCCTTTCCACAGGCCCATCCAGCCCAAATCTACCACCTCAGAACCCAAGAAAAGCTTTGAGACGTAGGGAACGTGGAATTTGTGTATTGGGCTCCACCCAGCACACACAGAGAGGGTAGAGACCGTGATTTATTCGTGGTGGGATGTCCAGGATGAGCAAACTCCCTCTACCAATGTAGAGCTGCACCATCTGCAGCCTACAGAGGGAAGGGAAGCAAAATCACTCATTTGGCAGCCCTGTCCCATAATAAACTATATAAGAAAACAAGTAACTGATAAAAGCTCCAATAGCAAGGGGTAAGGGAACCAGCACCACACCTCCAAATTAAGAAAGATTCAACCACCCTAGAAACCAATTCTGGTAGCTGGAACACACAGGAGTTTAACAGGATCTGGCACATGCCACAAGGATGAGATTCAATTTCCCCAGCCTAGTGGACCAACCTTGGGACTCAAGGCAGGAAGAGCTGGCATACTCCCCTCCTATCATCATCTCGAACAAGCTGGTTGGAGATTTACATCAGAGCCATGGATTGGGGCAGGGGGTATTGAAAGGGAGTCTGGGGCATCTGGGAGATGATGAAAGGTGGGGAGAGAGGTGGGTAGACTGGAACCATTTGGGGAGGAAAAGGAAGTATCTCATTCTGAAACTCACTTCCCCTTTATTGTCCCTATGAACTTTTGGATGTCTTCTGCAAGCAGAAGAGGCTCTTCAAAAGCAGCAAAGTGACCCCCTCGGGACATATGAGTGTAGGAGCAGAGATAGGGGAATTTCTTCCGAGCCCAAGTTTCTGGGCAGTGCAGCAGCTCATAGGGAAAGGCGGACAGACCAGCAGGCACAAATACCTTCATCCTACAAAACAAGAGATGTCAGTTGATGGGGGTAGGTCACATAGCTTTACCCCCATCCCTGTCCCCCAAGGAGGGTCTGAATCATTTTTCACAGGGAAACGTCTCATTAACTCCTGGGGCTCACTGGGGTGAGTCAAGGAAAATTCAGGTTGAACACAAGGATTTTAGCTGCCCTTTCCTAGTACCAACAATGTAAGCGTTCTCTCTAGTCCAGTAAGTATGTTACAAGAGAGGACAGGGCTGGGCAGGCAGAGAGAGAATGGTGAGGATTAGGATTAGCATGATGGAGAGATTCAGTCCCAAATCCTGCAAGAAGGGAAAAACACCCCCACCTATCCAACGGGATTCTCCATAAGCCCTATGACTCACTTTGAATGCTTCTGTACACCTACGCCTTGGCCCAAATTCTCCTTGTAGAATCGCTGTGAGGGGGCAATGCTGCCCGTCACCCAGTAGATCATGATATTGGTCAGCAGATCATCCAAAGTAAATTTCCTGTACAGATCAAAGAAAAAGTCCCAGATAGGATCAGGCCTTAGGGAGACATCAGGAATCGCAGTCTCTTTCAGGGATTGGAGTATCATGTACAGGGAAGAGAGTGTAAGTAAATACAAAGTAAATATAAGCAAATACAAAATATTCACAAATACAAAGTTATGTGGGGGGCAGGGCACCAGCAACTAGGGAGGTTCGGGTAAGTCCTGGTGTAGGAAGTGACCCCTGAGATAAACCCCAAAGGAATCCAGGGACTCTACAAGGCACTCAGTCAATAAGCATTTATTAAGCACCTACAATGTGGCAGGCATTGTACCAAGCACAGGGGACAGAAAGAATGGCAAAAGACAGTCTCTTCCCTCAAGAAGCTCACAGTCTAATGGGGTAGACAATATGTAAACAACTATGGGCAAACAAAATATAACAGGATAAATGGGAGATAATCAACAGAAGGAAGACATCAGCATTGACAAGAATGAGGAAAGGCTTCTTGTAGAAAGTGGGATTTTAGTTGGGACTTGAAGGAAGCCAGGAGATGGAAATGAGGAGGGAGAACATTCCAGGAATGGGGAAAAGCCCATGAAAAAGCCCCTAGTCTGGAGATGGAATGTCTTGTGTTAAGAAGAGCAAGGAGGGCTGTGTCACTGGGTGTGTAAGGTATAAGAAATCTAGAAAGATAAGAGGGGACCAGGTTGTGAAGGGCTTTGGATGCCAAATGGAGGATTTTTTTTTGCTTCTTTTTTTTTTTTTTAAAGGCAATTGGGGTTAAGTGACTTGCCCAGGGTCACAGAGCTAGTAAGTGTCAAGTGTTTGGTCTGAGGCTGGATTTGAACTCAGGTCTTCCTGACTTCAGGCCTGGTGCTCTATCCACTGCGCCATCTAGCTGCCCCCAAATGGAAGATTTTATACACAATCCATGAGGGGACAGGGAGCTGCTGGAGTTTACTGAATAGGGGAGTGACATGGTCAGTGTTTTTGGGAAGTACTTTTGAAAGATTGACTTGATGGCTGAGAAGAGGATGGACTGGAAAAGACAGAAGCTTGAAGCAGGGAGACCCACCAGCAGGCTATTGTAATAGTCCAGGCATAAGTTGGTAAGAACTTTCATCAGGATAGTGGCAATGTTAGAGGAGAGAAGGGGACATAGATGAGAGTTGTTTCAAAGACAGGGCAAAACAGACAGGACTTAGCAACAGACTGGATATGGGAAGTGAGGACATGAGGAGTCCGGGATGACACCTAGGTTGTGAGTCTGGGTGACTAAGAATGGTGGTGCCATCAGCAGTAATAGCAAAGTTCAGTAGGAAGTAACGTTTTGGGGTAAAGGTAATGAGTTCCATTTTGGACACATTGAGTTTAAAAAGTCTATGGGACCTCCATTTTGAGATGTTTGATGGGCAATTAGAGGTGAGAGTTTGGAGGTTGGGAGAACAGTTAGGGCAAGGTAAGTAGCTCTGAGAATTATTAGCACAGTGAAAATAATGGAAACCATGGTAGCTGATGAGATCATCAAGTGAAATAGCATAGAGAATGAAAGAGGGCCTAGGACAGAGTCCTGGGGGCCACCTACCTTTAGTAAGCTTGACCTGAAAGAAGAGCCATCACAGGAGACTTGAGAAGTAGTAGTAAGACAGGGAGGAGGAGAATCAGGA